CAAAACCAGGCAAAGATATTACCAAGAAAGAAAACTACAGAGCAATACCTCTCATGAATACAGATGCAAAAATCCTTAACCAAATCCTGGCCAATAGAATACAAAAGCACATCAAAAATTTAATTCGCCATGATCAAGTAGGATTCATAACCGATATGCAAGCATGGTTCAACATAAGAAAAACAACCTATGTAATTCACCATATTAACAAAATAAATAATAAGAAACATATGATCTTTTCTAGAAACTGATGCAGAAAAGGCATTTGAAAAAAGCCAACACCACTTCCTGATTAATACACTCAGCAAAATTAAAATAGAAGTGAATTTTCTCAACATAGTGAAAAGTATATATGTAAAACCAAGAGCCAAAAACATTCCAAATGGAGAAAGACTAAAAACATTTTCCTTGCAAACAGGGACCAAACAAGGATACCTACTGTCACCACTTCTATTCAATATTGTACTGGAAGTGCCTGCTAGGGCTATATGACAAGAGAAGGAAATAAAAGGCATCCAGATCATCAAAGAGATGGTTAATATATCAATAAATGTGGATGATATGATAGTGTACATTGAAAAGCCCAAAGATTCAACAAAAAACTGATAGAATAGTAGGCCAATTTAGTAGACTGGCAAGGTATACAATCAATATCCAAAGATCAGAGGGATTGCTCTACAAAAACAAAGAGAACTCAGAGAAAGAAACAAAGAATGCCACACCATTTACAATAGCCAACCACATACTTGGGAGTGAACCTAACTAGAAATGCAAAAGACTTATACAAAGAAAACAACAGAGTATTTCTGCAAGGCACAATAAAGGACCTAAAGAAATGGGAAAATGTTCCCTATTTAGGGATAGGAAAACTCAATTTTGTGAAAATGACAACCCTACCAAAAGCAATCTATATATTCTATTCAATCCCATTACAGATACCAAATTCATTTTTCAAGGAGACTAAAAGGGAAATTGTCAAAATTATTTGGAGAGGCAAGAGACCCTGAATAAGCAAAAGACTTCTGAGAGAAAAAAAATGAAGTGGGAGGTATAGCACTCCCTAACCTCAAAATCTACTACACAGCTGGTAACCAAAATAGCGTGATATTGCTACAATGACAGGCACATAGATCAGTGGGACAGGATTGAGACCCCAGAAATACACCCAGCTATCTATGGTCAACTGATAATCGAAAAGGTAATAAAATCTATCAAATAGGGAAATGAAAATCTCTTCAATAAACGGTGCTGGCAAAACTGGACAGCTACTTGCAGAAAGCCGAAACAGGATCTACATCTCACACCAAACACGAAAATCACCTCAAGGTGGAACAGAGACTTGGGTTTAAAGCACAAATCCATTAACTTCATAAAAGACATACTGGGATTGGAATTCTTGTCTACAGTACAAGAGACTGCCAAGTACAGCCACAGATGTACAATCTGAAGACTATAAAACTGAAGAATGGAACCTTCTAAAGATTAAATCCCTATGTTCATAAAAAACTTTTTCTAACAGGATGAAAGAAAACCTACCAACTGAGAACAACAATTTGGCAATGCCATCTCATCACAAAAGTTTGTAGAATACTTCTAGGCCACCACAAGGAAAAGTCTGATAACCTAATTGCAAAATGAGCAAAAGACAAGGAAAGAATTTTCACAGAGGAAGATAGTCAAATAGCCAACAGACATATGAAGAAATGTTCCAAATCATTGGCAATAAGAAAGATGCAATTCAAACCCAAAATGAGGTACCATCACACTCCAGTAACAGTGGCACAAAGTATAAAAAGACAGCAAGTAATAAATGTTGGAGAGGATGTGGTGAGTTAGGAACACTTTTACATTGTTTGTGGGATTGTACAATGATACAACCACTCTGGAAAGCAGTTTGAAACTTGCTCAAAAAGCTGAACATAGAAATTCCATATGACCCAGCCGTTCCATTGCTTGGAATATCCCCCAAGAAAATGAGAATTGAGACACAAATGGAAAGTTATATATCAATATTTATAGCAGCATTATTCACCATCCCAAGAACATAGGCACAGCCCAGATGTCCAGCCATACAATGGAATGCAGTATGCAGAAGTAGTGATTTTGTAAATTATGACCCAACTTGGGAGGGGCAAGAGAGCATTATGCTGAGTGAACTCAGTCCCACAAGCACAAACACTGTATATAAAACCATTATTGTAGAATGTGTATGAGAGTCCAAGATAGAGGGAGGGAGAGTGGAATAAAGGGGTGAGGATGAGTGAGTAGGGTGTTAATCATAGGACTGCACAATTTGATAGGTGGGTGATGTGAGGGAAAAGGGAAGGATCTTTTGTGAAAAACAATGTATTCAAACTTTGTAAATAAATCAGGATAAAATTTAAAAATATTTTTTAAAAAGTAAACATAGATTAGAAAACTAGAGGTAAAATTTAAAACAAGGGTCAGCATTAAAAGCATAGTTGAGTCCTGATTAACTTCTTGAATCTCCATCTTCTCAGGTAGGAGTCCTCGCTCCTGACCAGACACAGAAGAGGAGAATAGAGTGAGGATTAGCCAAGAGCACCAGCTGAGATATGGGGGTTACATTGCTCAATCTCAACCACTTCCCTGGGTATTTCCCCCCTAAGAAAAAGAGCCCAGGCAGCATTCTTGGGACTTTTCCTACCTCTGAGGTACCTGGCCCTTCCCCTTCCCTTGCTTCTCTATCCAGAAAGATAAAGTGTAGCTATCGGGCTAATGTGGTTTCCAGCCTTGCAGTGCACCAATACCAGGAAGAACAATACAGCCAGCCTATAGAAGAGGTGGGCAGCATTCAAATAAGATTTCTGCATTGATACACTCCAGATCAGAGAGAAGTTGAAGAGCTTTAGGAAAGGCAAGCTTTTCCACAGCACAGGATGAGAAAGAACTTCTGATACATCAAGTTGCCCTCTGCCACAAAGAAAATACTTTTAAGTTTGCAACTAATTAATATCATCATAAAGATAAAGAACTGCCAATAACCTATGCAGACATAATAGAAATGTCACAACACATATCAAGAAAAACTTCACATAATGATAAAGAAGCAGCAAGCAACTTCAAACATTGTGGGAAAAAAACCCAAATCTTCTAAAAAAGCATAACACATAGAAGATACAAAAAATAACCAGAGAGGGAACCTAAAGAAGTATACTGATGCTGAGTTATATGAACAACTATAGGAAAAGGTGCTAAAGATGTTAGAGAGAAGTACAAATAAATCAAATACTCCAAAGTCAGGGAATCAGAAGAGATAAACTAAAACTGAGTAGCTTGAACAACTAGAAGAAATTTCAAAATATGGAAGAAAAAATATAGAGATATAAAGAAGTATGAGGACTTTAAAAGACCATCAAAATTAAAGAGAATATAGCCAACACAGGACTGTAAATAACAGAAACACAACAAAATGCAATTCAGAATTTCAAGGCCATAAGGTTAGAAGTATCCAATATGCTGGAGGGAAAAAAAAGCAGAAGAGTAAAGATGGAACAGAAAATCAATGAGTGGGAAGACAAGAACCTCAATGGAAACATATTAGAACAAAGTGTAGAGAGAAATCAGAAGGAAAATCATAAAAGCATTAGAATCATGGGGATAACATTAAAAGGAACAGCATAAAAAAAATTACTGGAACTCCAGAACATGATGGGGACAGGGAAAGGAATGAGAAAAATTTGGAAGAGGTACTAGAAGAAAACTTAGTAGATATCATGAAGAATGAAGAAAACTACACTCAAGACTCAGTGAATACCAAACAGATTAGACCCCAAAGTAAAAACATCAAGATGTCCTTTGGTATGGATTGTGTCTCAATATCAAGGAAACAAAGATTCTTACCAATGGACAGACAGGCAACATCATGAAGGATGAGAAGAAAATGAAATTGTCTACAATTCATCTTGTTTAGATCCACAATTAACACCCTTAACACAAGCAGTCAGGAAATAAAAAGATGCATTGCACTGGGAAAATCTGGAGTTAGGGACCTCTCCAAATTATTGGGTAGCAATCATGTCAGTTTAAGGATTGAGGTATGTCTTATACAGACCATATTCTTTCTGATCATTTGTGTTGCATCTGAGAGCTGGACAGTGAATAACAATGACAGAAGAATTGATGCCTTTGAGCCGTGGTGTTGAAGAAGAACACTGAACATCCCATGGATGACCAAAAGAACAAATATGTCTTGGAGAGGGTGCAGCTGGAGTGCTCTTTGGAAATGATAAGGCTTTGCCTCACATACTTTGGGCATATTGCTAAGAGGGGTTATTCCTTTGGAAAGGACATGATGCTAGGAAGAGTGGAGGGTCAACGAAGTAGAGGAAGACCCTCCAGCACGTGAATTGATTCAATAACAATAACAATAACAATTGATTCAATAACAATAGGCTCTAGTGTGTCAGGAAGTGTGAGGATGGCACAGGATCTTTTGTTCATAGGGTCACTGAGTCATACTCAACTCAATGGCACCTAACAATAACAATGTCGTTTATAGCCTTTGCACATACTTTTCTATTTCTTTTTTGGTAGGTCATTGTTAAGAGTATATTTATTAAACTTGTCAAACACTTTTTGTGGTCATTAATTATCACATTTGGAGCCAAATCATACACTAAAGAATTTAAGAAGGTATTATCTAAAAACAACACATTGTCTAAAGGACTTCTGTCTCTACACATCTAAAACAGCCAAATTGAAAGAATACAAGATTTCAATATACCCAGAGAGTTATTTGAATTTTTTTCAAGAAAATGTGCAACAATGAATAAATGGAAATCCAAGTTGTTTATAAACTTTCATTAAAATCTAAAAAGAGAGAGAAAAACGCAGACCAAGGTCTTCCTTTTCTATTCTTCAATTCCAGCTCTCTGAAAATTCCATTAAAAAAAAATGAAGCAAAGTATTTTCTTCTTTTCCACCTGTTTAAAATATATTCAAGACATTAACTTTTTTCTGGAAATAAATCTACTAACCAATGTGGTGCCACAATCACATTGTTCACCAGGTTCTAATATCCCATTGCCGCATACTTTGGCTTGGGTAGATGATCTGGCATCGGGCTTATCAAAAGGTTGGTTCAGAAGACATTCAAGTTCAGATTGTGAAGTCAAAACCTTAAATTCATCCACATTACAGGTGCTAAAATCTTTTATACCTTCAATATGCCTATATAATAAAAATAAAAATATAGTTATGACAAAAATGTTTCACGTATGTCTATTTATTCTCCAATCATATAATACTGCAAGAGACTTAAAAACTTAAATTATTGATTATAGAGAACAACAAGCAACGTTTAGAAAATATTTATTCAAATGTATTACTAATATGTTACAATATAAAATATAAATTCAAGCAAAAAATTTACTGCAGTGGAACATAACACACTGCAGCCTCTTGTGCTATCATTCACTATGTTTTATATAAGATCTATTAAATATCCAATCTATAACTTTAATTAAGCCTTTAAACAAAGAAAATATTATTTTCACTTATCTTTGATAGGTCAAACTATTAAATTCTATATTTTAGTCCTTTAACATTTAATAAGGGATTTTGGTAAGGAGTTGTGCTATCAACCCAAAGTCTAGTGGTGGTTCAAGTCTATCAGCTGCTCCTCAGGAGAAAGATGGACAATCCCTGTGTGGTTTGCAGCCTCTGGAAACCCACTGCAATGTTCACTTTTGAGTAAGTTCCAATTGCACAGCAATGAGAGAAAAAGAATATTTAATATCATTTATACCTTTGATTTATTTTTAAGTATATGACACTTCTGTAAATGCAAATATAAATATGATTGTATTGACTTAAGTTGTATGCTTCAAAATATTAGCATTTGACAATTAATTTTTCCCCAAGATAAAAATAAGTTGCTGTCTTCCAGTCAAGATAAGATAATGCAGACTCATTTCCTCCTGTTTCTCCTCACTAAACACAACTCTGGAAATAATGCTAAAAGATGTCTAACAAAATTCTGAAAAGTGGAAGGGAGAGACAAATTGATTAAGGATCATAGAACTAGAGGAATAACAAAGGGATTAAGTGTCTAATATTTTCCTACACACCAAAAGATCCAGGTTGAATGTATCCAGAATCAAAATTTAGAAGCTACAGACAGGCCTGGTAGGCCCACTTCTACCTCTGAAAGTCCTACTAATACCAAGTTAGCTAGGCCTTGTCAACAAGGGAGATCACCTGGATCTCTCCTAATAAGATCCCATCTGCTTCACTTACTTATTGGGATGTTGTTATTGTTATGTTCCATCAAGCCTACTGCAATTCGTAGCAACTCTGTACAATAGCTCTGAACTCTGCCCTATCTTGAGACATTCTCACTATCTCTGACACATCTGCCTCCATTGCCACAATCACTGTGTCAATCCACCTCATCCAAGGTCTTCCCTAACCTGCATTGACCTTCTACCCATCTGAGGATGATGTCCTTCTACAAGGACTGGTCCTTCTGAGCAACATGCCCAAAGTATGTGAGACGGAGCTTCACCATCCTTGCCTTCAAGGTGCAACCTTGTCTCACCCTGTCCAGGACTTACCAGTTTATTTCTTGGCAATCCATGACATATTCAATATCCTCCAGCACTACAACTCAAATGAATTAATTATCATCTGTCATCTTTACTTACTGTCCCTATCTCAGATGCATAGAAAATAACTGTGACAGCCAAGGCTTGATTCACGTGCATCTTAGTCTCTAGATAGAAATTATTCCTTCTCAGCTTTCTGGAGAGGTCCCTCATAACAGACTTTCCTAATGCATTCCATCTTGTGATTTCTTTTCTTCTGATGCCAAGAGTGTTGTGGACCCAAACAAGATGAAATTGTTAACAACTTCATTCTCTTCTCCATCTATCATTATGCTGTCAATTGGCCCAATGATTAGAATCTTTGTTTTCTGGATGTTGACATACCATCCATATTGAATACTTACTGTAGTCCTTGACTCTCTACAGCAAATGCTTCAAGTTCTCCTAAGGTTCAGCTGACAATGTTGTGTCATCTGTGTAACACAGGTTGTCGATGAGTCTTCCTCCAATCTTGATACCAGATTCTTCATTAAGTCCAGCCTTCTGAATGATGATTTACATATTACATTGAAAAGGTATGGAGAAAGGACACAGCCTTGATACATTCCTCTTTTTTTTTATTTTTTCATTTTAAATCATGCAGTGTTTCCTTGCTATGTTCAAATGGCTGCTTCCTGGCCTAAGTATAGTATTCTCATGGTGGCAATCAAGTATTCTGGGATTCCCATTCCTCTCAATGTAAGCCATAATTTGTTATGATCTATACAGTTACATGCCTTTCCATACTCAATAAAATACAAATCTACACAGTCAAATGCCTTTGCATAGTCAGTAAGATGCAAATAAACATTCTTCCGGTACTCTCTGCTTTCAAAGTTTTATTGACATTCACGGTGATATCTCTAGTGCAAAAGCCTCTATTTCGGGCAGTTCTTTCTGTCAATTTATTATTGCAGTTATTTTTAGGTAACAGTGATCAAGATTTTGCCTGCATGTGATATTAGTGACATTGTTCAATAATTTCCACACTCTATTGTATCATCTTTTTGGGAATGGAAATTAATATGGATTTTTCCAGTCGGTTGACCAGCTGGCTGTCCTCCAGATCTCTTGGCACAACCTGGTGAAATGTCCAGGGTTTCTTATTTTTCTTGAAGTATGTTGATTGGCATTCCATTCATTCCTGAAACTTGATTTCTTGCCAATTCCTTCAGAGCAGTTTGAACTTCCTCCTTCATTATGATTGTTTCTTGATCATATGCTGTTTAATGAAATTCTGTGTCAACTAACTCTTTTGGTTCAATGACTCTGTGTACTGCTTTCATCTTCTTTCAGTGCTTCCTGGATAATTATATATTGTGCCCATAGCATCTTTAAGTATTACAACTCAAAGCTTGACTTTGTTCTTTAGTTCCTTCAGCTTAAAAAATGCTGAGTGAATTTCTCCCTTTTGATTTTCTTATTCTAGCTCTTTGTATATTTCATAATATTTTGCTTTTGTCTTCCCGAGCTGCCCTTTGAAATCTTCTGTACAGCTCCTTAATTTCTTGATTTTTCACTTTACTTTGGCTTCTTGGCATGTTAGTGCAAAATTCATAGTCTTCCTATATCCATCTCAATCTTTTCTTTTTCCTCTGTCTTAGAAATGAATGACCTTTTGCCTTCTTCACAGATGATGTTCTTTATATTATCTCACAATTCATCTAGTCTTTGTTCATTAGTGTTCAAGGCCTCAAACCTATTCTAAAGATGGTTTTTGAATTCAGGTAGGATAAATACACGGTCATATTTTGGTTCTCCAAAATTTGTTTACATTTTCCTTTGAACTGGAACATGAGTAGTTGATATTCCTTTCTACAGACAGTGACTAGTATTCACAGCTGATATTGAACTTCTCCTGCAATCTTTTTCACAGTAGTAATTAATTTTATTCTTATTTATTTCATCAGGTGAGGTCCATATGAATAGTTTCTGTTTGTGCTTTTTATAAAAGCTATTTACAAGAAATAAATCATTGATTGCTGTGCTGTATGTAGATCTCTTCCGTAGTGTTAGCCTAATAGTTTCCTTTGTTTTTTTTAAGCCATTAAAAAAATTAAGCCATTGGGTTTCTGAGGCTATAAATCACATGGAAAATTATATAAGAAGCACAAGAGAGGCACTTCCTTCAAGATAGTAGCATAGTCTCTTTAGAGACTATGTAACCAGAGTTCCCTACTTAACATTAATTAAAAAATTGTTGCTGTTGTTACGTGCCGTCAAGTCACTTGTGACTTATAGTAACCCTATGTACAACAGCCCTAACCCCTGTTCTATCCCTTGCCAATCTTATTGTCTCTGACATGCCTATCCCCATTACCCCAGTGATGGAATCAGTCAATCTCATCGAGGGTCTTCTTCATTGCAATATTTTTGAAAAGAATATTAATGCAGCCTTCATAAAAATAATTCAACAAGCTCAAATTCTTTTAAAGCATGTTTTATAAAAGGATATCTCAGCAAAAATAAACAAAAGTTATTTTTAAAAGAACCACATAAAACTTGTAGAACTAAAAAGTACAATAAAAGAAATAAAAGTATTCACTGGTTGGGATTAGTAGTAGACTAAATATAACTGAGGATAAAACCACTGATATTAAGTACTGATCAACAGAATTTATCCAATCAAAACAAAGTAAAAATGGATGGGGGGATGAGCAAAGGGCAAAATAGAATCTAACCTATTCTATACTCTTATGAAAGATTAAAGGCCAAATTAGTTCAGCAGCCAAGTCATTAAAAGATGTATTACCCGGCCCTGGCTGAAAATCGCCTGTGACTTCATCCATAGCCACTGGTGAGAGTCAGCGCCCAGAGCCATCAGGGGCTTTAAGCTCGTTGCCCACTGCTGTGGTGTGGACAGCTGAAACCCAGGCCCTGACAGGCACCTGGGGGGGGGCCAGACTCTACTTCATGCTCTGCTGGAGAAGGAGGGGCAGTCTCCGGTACCAGTCAGATCCAATTTGACGGTACACACACACACACACACACACTTTTTCTTCTTCTTTTTTAAAAAAAGACTACTTGGGCCGTCGTGGCCCTCTGCCCAGGGCAGGCTGCCCTCGGCCCCCTGCCCGGGGCGAGCCGTCGCGGCCCTCTGCCCGGGGCGAGCCGTCACGGTCCCCTGCCCGGGGCGAGCCATCGTGGCCTTCTGCCCGGGATGGGCTGCCCTCGGCCCCCTGGCCAGGGCAAGCCGTCACGGCCCTCTGCCCGGGGTGGGCTGCCCTCGGCCCTCTGCCCGGGGCAAGCCGTTGTGGCCTTCTGCCCGGGGCGGGCTGCACTTGGCCCCCGGCTCGGGGCGAACCATCGCGGCCCTCAGGAGCAAGAAGGCAAGCAGCTGTAACCCAAGACCACCAGTAAGGTGATAAAGCGTCCTTCCTTCCCCCTTTATATCTACGCCCCTGTTCAGCATGAAGAAGCCAGAGAGTCGACATCCAATTCCCAAATCAATAAGACAGTTGGTTTAATTACTATTGGAAAATGCTTGTCATTTCTCTGTAGCATCTGGTCCCCACTGGACCCTCATCATTTCCTTCACCTGCTCCCCCCACCGACCAAACTGCGCAGCTTTGCAACTGCATCCTG